CCCAACCGTCCCCTGCCCCAGGCTTGTCATCTATAAAACAGGAATGATGGCAGCAATGACGCTGCTTTCAAGAATAAATGATTTAATACATGAAGGGTCCTTAAAAGTGTCAGACACATGGTAGGGATACAATAAAACCATTGATACTAATATTATTACCACACTGGTACACAGAAGTGACTCCCCCGGAGGAGTACTGGGTACATCTGGCCCTGAAGGGTGGGATGAGGTCCAGAATGTAGGACAACCCTGCTCCTGGCATTTAAAGCCCTCAGAATGTACATTAGGCCGATAACTGCACACCGTCTCTGACATGTCTGTCCTCCCTTCCTCCTTGGCTTCTTGGAGGAGATACTCTGCTCCTTTCCCAGCACTGAAGGCGGAGATGTGCCCTCTGGTTACTTGGCCCCATAGACATTCATATACAATCAAAAGTAAATAAAAAGATGGCGTGAATAAAGCCGTCCTGCAAGGCAAGCCTGATGCATCACTGACTAAGGCTGGCTCCGAATCCAGGCAGCCTGGCCTGGCATAGGCAGGTCTCTAACAGTGGCAACTGCATTGTCCCCATTATCCCACGGAGGTGCCAGAACAATGGAAAGGGCAATTTGTCCTCGGTACCAGCCCGGGGCTTCTGTGCAGCAGATGACGGCGGCAGAGAAGCAGCCGTGCGTGCTGTCTGATCACCACATTCCTGGGACTCGAATCCGGTGTTGCAGTCCTCCTCCAGCCCGACCGGCCCAGCAGCTCGTTTCCCCACCCCCAGCCACTAATGTGGCTCTGATCACAGACCAGAGAGACCCAAAGGCAAGCCTTCTGACTTTTAACTCCTCCGGGCTCCAGACCGGGCCCTGCTGCTTTGCCAGCCCATGGGTTTGGGGCAAGTGCTATGCACTGCTCTGGGCCTCAGTTTCTGCATATGCTGATGCACCTGTACGGCAGGCCCCAGGGGACACAGAGCATCTGAAGTCAGCACTGGCAAGGGTGGGTGAGGCCAGGACCTTGCGTGTTGATATGGCTTTGACTCTGGTCTAAGCCATTTGCAAGAGAATTAGGCAACTTGGATTAAGATTCGTGCCCCACACCCATGGCTCACCATGTGAGCCTTCCATCTTTGAAGGAAACAATTCACAGCATACAAAACTGGTCATCACCCTGGGGTCTAAAAGGGACAGCTTGGAATAACTATAACTACTCCTTCTGGGTCTTCACCAAACCCAGTTCTAAACACTTTCTCTATATAGCAACCTAAAGAAGCAGATATTACATTACCCGTTTTGAATCTCAGGGGGTTGAGGCCCAGAGAGGGTGAGCAGTGTGCCCAAGGCCACACAGTAAGTGGTGGAGCTAAAATGGGAACCCACACCATCTGGCCCCAAAGACTGCATTCCAGGCCACTGCACACCCTGTCTTTTTGTTCGACGAAGTAAAATAAGGTTCTTTTAAAGGTGAGATGTTGTCAAAGCACCCCATTAAAAAAGGCAAAATTTCAGAATATGTCAAAACAGAATATGACACAGCAAATCAACTCATTTTCTAAATGGGGAAACTGGGTTCCAGGGAGGAAGAAAGACTTGCTCACAGTCAGGCAGGTAGAAGACCCGCCTTCTTGACTCCACTGTATCCACATCAATTCACATTCTCTACGTTTTACACAATGAGTAAGGATGTGGGCAAACTACTTCTGTTACATTAAAAACCAAGGGTGTATTAGTAATCTTAAACCAAAAGTCAACCCACTTATTCTTCATGTGGAAATCATGGCAAAGGCTGGGAAAGTGATCCAGTCCCCAAAACACGGAATCCAGAATGGCTCATCTGCAGGGCCCCTTAGGGGACACTGGGTCCGAGTGCCCATGAAACAAAGGGGAAACACACACACACACCAGGATCAGCATGATTTTTGTGATTGTCAAAAGACACCACTATGCCACCAAAATTGACCCTTTGTAACTTAAATGGCTATATTCACAACTGTAGTATAATGTGAGGTTTTGTAATAGTTTCAAACGTTTTTAAATGCGTAGGTGGAAATGCAACAGGTAATGGTCAACATATTACATTGTACCTTCAGTTCCAGGTACACCCAAGCACCCCCCTCTGGAGGGGCATCTGTACTCTCCATCTGCATACCAGCATCTCTTTCTTTTAACTGGAATCATGCCAGAGCTGCCAGTCACAAAGCCCCACCTCCTTGACCCAGGATGGACATGTGACCTAAGCTTGGCCAATCAGGGTCACTTTAAAGGAATGATTGACATTGTGGGAGAAGGGTTCTCTCCCTGGGAGCAAGACGAGAAGAAACCATCATGCCTGGACCATTCTTCCTGCTGTTCAGAGGCCACCTGAGGCCCAACCCCGAGAAAAGAGAGATGAAAGGAAGATCCTGCTTCAGCCCTGGTTCCAGCCACACCTAAAGCCAGAAAATTCTGTATGTACTTCCCAGGCGAGAGAGTCAGACAATTTCCCTTTTTGCTGCAATGTAATTGAGTTCACAAACAAAATAATTATAATCAATACTATCAACTGAGGGTTCCCACAAAAAATCATATTTCCCCAAATCACTCATTTACTGGCCCACTTCATCAACCTGAGATGAGTTCTAGATTAGAAGGAAGTCATCAGGTTGCTATGGGTACAGAGCATTTTTGGAGGGGCGATGAAATAGTTCTGGCACTAACAACGGTGGTGATTGCACAACACAGTGAATGTACTTATGCCACTGAATTGTATGCTTTACCGTGGCTAAAGTGATCCGCTGCATGTGGTTATATTTTATCAATATAATTTGCAAGATTCAAACACTGCCCTCATTGGACACATCCCAGCAAATGCTCTCTCTTTGCTTGTTCCCTCATCTCCCGGCCACTCCTAGGATTGGCCAATGAAGAGAACTAACCAACTGTAGATGGCAGACTCCAGCAGGAGACACTGGCCATGGGACATGCGTTCTTTGCATTGTCCATTCTGCTGCCATAAAAGAAACCCCCTGAAAGCTGGTTAACCATTAAAACCATTTATTGAATATTTACTATGTCCCAGGCATGGCACCAATCCTTTTAGAAGGTAATCTGACAGCCCATACCTTTTAATTTTTATTATTATTTTTAAATCCTCATCTGAGGGTATATTTATTGATTTTAGAGAACAAGGAAGGGAGAGAGAGAAAAAAACATCAATTGATTTTCTTCCATACACACCCCAACCAGGGATTGAACTTACAACCTTCTTGTGTACAGAACAACACTCCAATCAACTGAGCCACTCGGCCAGGGCTGACAACCCATACCTTTTAAAAGTGACCATCACGCCTATTAATTCTGGAGCCCTACCTCCTGAAAATGTATTCTAAAGAAACAACCCATCGGAAGAGAGGACGGAGCTGCGTGTCTGAGACTGGTGGTGAAACAGTATTTATACAGATAAATACGGGAGGCAACTCAGGAGGCCAACAGCTGGGGAACACTCAGTACATTGCAGCCCACTTGGGGCAGGGGACAGCTGGCCTCCAGAAAGCGTTCACTGCTGCGTCTCTGCGGTTGCATAGTATATGAAATTATGTTAAGTGAAAAATAAAGCAGAAGCCAGCGAGAGTGTGGTTTGCAGGCTGTGTCTGCATCCATGCACAGAGGTGGTGAGCTCACCCACAGAGCTGCTAAGAAGGTTAGAAAAATAGGCTGTGATAATGGAATGATAGGAATTTTTTTCTTTCTCTTTATTTTTTAAATAAATGTTTACTTGGGGATAATTTTTGACTTACAGAAAAGTTGCAGGAGGCAGTACCAAAAGTTCTCCCATTCCTGGCACCCAATTTCACAATTATGAACCTCTGGTACTACCGCGCGATGCTGGTCACAATGAGGAAGCCAGCACTGGAATGGTGCTGTAACTGAACTCCAGACTTCATTCTGATTCCACCAGTCTTTCTGCTCCAGGATCCAATCCAGCATACCACATGCAACACAAACTATTTGTGTGTGTTTTGTTTTTTTACAATTTAGTGGCTTTTGGTATAGTCACAGATATGTATAGCCACCACCATAGTCAATTTTGTAATATTTTCATCACCTGAAGAAGAAAGCCCCCACCCAATAGCTACCATACCTCCCTAGCATGGGTTTGGAAAATATCCTTTTGCAAAATGGAGAATCCTTTGGTAAAAAGAGAACTCTCTCTCTCTCTCTCTCTCAGCTCCCTGTGCTTGGTTTTTCTCTCTGGAATTCAGATTCTCTTGTCTCACATGCCCTAGCCCCAACCTTCGAAGTTTCCAAGTGTCAATTTTCATTATGTCCAGAATGAAAAATATTTTACAGTTGAGAACTCTACAGGTAGAATTGTTCAGAAGCCCAGAGACAAAATCAAGGGCAAGACTGCCTTTCCCTCTTTCCTTTCAGGCAAAGAGAGACTTGGGAATAAGTTAGCCCTGAGCAGTGCCCCGCTATCCAGTCTGGAATCTGTGCCATCCCATACAGCCTTTATCATTCCAGCCATCGAGATTATCATAACCCCCCGCTGGCCCTCACGAGGTTGACATTTGTTCATTAAACAAGTGTTATCGCATACCTACTGTGTGCCGGGCACCCTTCAGAGAGGACATGCATGAATTCTCACACTGGGTCCTCATGGCGACCACTGGAAGTCAAATGTGATCATTCATGATGCAAACAGGTAGTGGCTGCCATTCCGGGCCTCCCTCCAGCCCGCTTCTCCACGAGGCACCTGCCCAACCTCAAAGGTAAACCCCCAGCCGCCACGCTTCTAGCAGGTGATGGATGAGCAGGGTCACAGATGTAGCTACTTGCCTCCTCGCCCGCATGCTGAAAACACTTCTGGGAGCATTTCACCAGTGACTGTGTGGTCCAGAGACAAAGCACAGCCTGCCTGAAGTCACAGCTAAGTCACAGACCTAGGAGTCAAACTCAGCCCTCTCAGTCCCTGCTGGATGGTGACCCTTTCCGGATGTGACCCCCAGGTCCAACAGGAAACCCGAGGCCAGTTACCTGCACAACCTCCTTCACCAGGGTCTTGTCTGTGCCGGTTTTGGCTCGCTGCAGCCCACTGACGTTCTCACCGATCCACGTGATGAGGGCGAACTTGGACCTCTTGCTCATGGCGTCCCCAGTGGTGAAGCGCACAAAGGCAAAGAATCGGATATCATCTGCAGCCAACAGCAAAAAGAGGGCATAGGGTTGGGTTAAAATACCCCAAAACCACAACTCTGAGGAGGGGCTATAAGCCACAGGTGCACCCAGAGAGCACAGCTGGAACCTAACACAGACCTTGGCCAACATTCTGTCATCTGGTCATGACAACAGCACCCAGGCTTCGATGCCATCTCACAGATCAGAAATGAAGGTTCAGAAGGGTCACCAGACACTCCCAAGGCCACACAGGTGGTAGGAAGCCACTGGGATGTGGACCCAGCCTCTCTGGCTGCTATACCTGCCACCCTCCCGACTCTCATACCATCGAGGCTCAAGCTCTGGATCTTACTCAGGAAAAAGCTCATCGACTTGTCTTATCCCCAGGCTTCGAGACCCCACTAGGACTAGGGATAGGAAAGCCACATGGAGATGGGAACCAGGTTGGGGAGGAGTTGGATGGGGAGAAAGTGGCCCTTATTTTGGCCTGGGATACAGCTCTGGGCCTACTGGGCATGTCTAGCTTATGGCTAGACAACTAGGCCATTAAGAATTCTGAGTGTTCTTCAAATGGGTGCATTCTGCTTGTTATAGCTTACATATTCATTTGTATTAAAACGACTCTAGAGCACAGGTGGTAAACACAAGGACCATGGGCCGAATCCAACCCTCCACCTTGTTTTATCTGGCCAGTACCTTGTTTCTACCCCAGGGGCAGCACTGAGCTCTCCCTTAACTGTTAAAGAGTAGTTACATTGATACAGTCCTAAAATTACATTCGGCCCTTTAAAGGCAACCGTGAGGCTGATGTGGCCCCCAGTGAGTATGAGTTTGCCACCCCTGCTCTAGAAGTTAGTTTGTTCCAGTGATCTACATTTATATTTCATTTCATTACCACACTTTTTTCATTCTCATCACTTTAGAATGTCTTCCACAGGCTAAGTTCCCCTGACCACCACTCCTTGTGTCACCAAAACATCCTTGAGGTTTTAAAGTGCATGTGCACGTGTGTGTGTCCCACAAGGACAGTGGGCTGGAGGGTTCCTTGTTGTGGGTGACCTAGGCATCACAGAATATTAAGCAGCACCCTCAGCCTCCACCTACGAGATGCCAGTAGCATAGTTCCCAACCCAATACGACAACCAGAAGTGTGTCCAAACATTGCCCCGTGTCTGCTGGGAGGCAGAGCCACCTCTAACCAGAAACAAACTCCTAGTGACAGTTTGTGTCCCACTTAATCAGGACCCCCTTTGTGTCTTCCACCGACATTCTGTGCTCTTCACTGAGGAGTCTCATATCCTTGCTCTGCTTAATTTCTACATAGTTCATATTCTAAGTGTGCGTATCAAGAGATCTCATTCTAGTCCCTAACAGGCGAAGACTGACATGTGGGGATGCTACTGGTTTGGACTATTTTTGTACCAGCCGCTCTGCTCAGCACTGATACTCTTAATGGCATTTGGCTGCTAGCTTTAAAATCTCTCAGGCACTTGTTTACAGTGTGGAAGTGTACTTCTTAAATATTTGTGTATATTTGACTCTTGGAGGATCTTGCTAAGACACAGATTTTGATTCAGCAGATCTAAGGCCCTGGGGTCTGCATGTCTAACTAGCACCCGGGTAATGCTGAGGCAGTGGTAATGCCAAAATGCTGAGGAGGTTTTTAAATTATTTATTAAATCAAGGTACCCTTCTTCCCAGAATCTTTCTAGGTGCCTCCCTGCTGACTCCCACATGTGGATAGGTTTACACTAAGACCACCAGCCCTCTGAGTGTAATGGGAACCCAGTATGGAGCTGATCAAGTTCATTGCCTGGTTAGTACCTCAAAGCCTCAGCACTGCTGAACAATTGTGCTGCATGATGTGGAACCATCTGTTCCATGGAAGCTAAGAAGCAGTTCTCAACAAGCCAAGACTCTGGATTTGAACTCTACAGTCCAGGCCAGGGGACTCCCAATGTTTATTTCTTAAAGGAAACAGATCATTATGACTATTCGCACTGGCACAGCACCTCAGTTTATAAAGCACACTTGTGTTTCACCATCTCATTCGGTCTCACTACGGTGCTGATGGTGCGGGTGGGGTGGGGCTCACTGCCACCACCTCCATCAACATCCGAATCACCACTGGATAGAGGAGGCTCAGAAGCTGTGGGACATGCCCAAGGGAACATACTGATGACAAAGCCAGCCTTGAAGCCAAGGACCGAGACAGCTTGGGTGTGTCTGCCTACCAGGCCACAGGAGCTCACTGGGTGCCCTTCATGGGACCTGACCATGGGGTCAGCAGAGAACAAGGCAGTGAGGCCCTGGCTGGTGTGGCTCGGTGGACTGAGTGCCGGCCCGCAAACTAAAAGGTTGCAGGTTTGATTCCCAGTCAGAGCACACACCTGGGTTAAGGGCCATGTCCTCAGTTGGGGGTGTGTGAGAGGCAACCAAACTATGTATCTCTCACACATTAATGTTTCTCTCCCTGTCTTTCTCTCCCACTTTCCTCTCTCTAAAAATAAATAAATAAATAATATATATTTTTAAAAGACCACAAGGCAGTGGGGACAGAGAGGAAAGATGGTCTCAAGGGCACTTCACAGGCCCCTCAACAGGGCTTCATGACCAACTAGCCATGGAAGTAAAGAAGGGGTCCAGGAGACACCCACGCGGGGGCGAGAGCTCCATCTCTCACTCCCAAGGACTCCAACTTGCTTAGTCCCCAGACATCTGAGCCACAGCTGCTTCATCTGTAAAATGAGGTGATTATTTTTTTGTCCTTCGCACTTTTTTCTTTATTGACATAAAAGTCACATAACATAAAATTCACCATTTTAACCATTTTAAAGTATAAAATTCCATGGCATTTAGTACATTCACACTATTGTGTGATCATCACCACTACCTAATTTCAGATCATTTGCATCACCCCAAAACGAAAGCCCATACCCGGTGGCAGTCACTCCACACCTTCCCCTTCCCTAGCCCTAAGCGACACAAATCTGCCTTCCATCTCTGGATTTGCCTGTTCAGACGTTTCACACAGATGGAGCCATACACTGTGTGGTCTGCTGTGTCTGGCTTCTTTCACTCAGCATGGTTTCAAGGTTCAGCCACATTGTAGCGTGGTCAGTACTTCACTCTGTTTATGGTTGAATACTACTTCATTGTACGGATATGCCACAACCCATTCATCCACTCATCTGTTGATGGACCTTTGGGATGTTTGCTTTTATACACACTCATTAGTTGATCATGAGGATTAAATATGGTCGCTGTGAATCCTGCCTGTGTTTCAAGGCTCTGTCTGATGAGGTAGAACCTGTCCCCTGAAGCTGCAGCCACGGGGAGGAGCTGCCAGGTGGGTAGTGAGCACAGGAAATGAGGCCAGTGGGACTGAGGAACTGAAATTCACACAGCCAGCCACACGTGGGTGTTGCAGACATAGAGGGTGGGGGTAGGCTTCCGAGCTTCTCCCAGCATTCATGGCAGTGTTTGGGAAGCCAGCGCTCTGTTTTGAGTAGTGTTATTGGAGGAAAAGGAGAACTAGCACCAAAGTGTTTCATTAAATTGCAGCCTTGACCTGAAGGGGAGGTGGGGACACACATCAGATGCCAAGGCAACGCAGAACAAACAAACAAAAAAGCAGGCTGTCTGCTTCCATGGGAACCACTCTATATACCATTTCCACATAGATCAGCCTGGACATTTGGGTTCCGTGACAGCGTTTGGGTCCCAACTGCCCAAAGATGCAAAGGACCAACTCGGGACCTGGCACAAGATAAGTTAAGTCACACCCCCAACCTCAAGGACGTGGGAGCCCGGGCCTTCCCAGAACTGCAGGCCAATGTCATTTAAGCTACTGGCAGGCAAGGCTGTTCCCCTGAGTGGATTTGGAGCACTTATTGGATAACGGTTTAACCAACAAGGTTGCTGATGTTTTGAAAATCCAAGAGTGATTTGATGCTAACGGATGTTTGCTGCTCAAGATTTGGCCCAACATTGAAAAGTCATTCTCCCAGCCGCCCACACAGGCCTGGAGCTCTCTCTCCACATCACGCACCCTGAAGGAGGCTGTGAGGCCATTCTGAACTCAAACTGGTCTGTGCAGGAGGAAGTTCTAGTTCTTAGGCACTGGGGGGAAGGCCTTCCCTCTTCTGGACAAACTGGGCAGAGCAAACACACATGCGCAGCCGCGGCACCTAATCAGGAATGGAAAACATCACAGCCCCCTCATTTATTGCCTGCTAATGTTACCCTCTCCCCCAGGAAAACGTGGGCATATTGACTGAGAAGGCATACCTATGCCTCACCATGCATGTATATAGTGTGCTTGTGCATGTCTGCGTGTGTGTGCCCCTGCATGTGCATCTGTGTATGGATTTGTACACTAAGATGGCAAAACTGGCAGGGAGACAGTTGATACTTGAAGTTGCTGTCACCCTCATTGCGTTACTCAGTCCCCAATGGGGCCAATGGCACATCTTTTCCGAAGAGGTCAGGAGCTGAGGGTGCAGCTCTGTTCGACCCCAGTGGGAGAAGTCCAAACACACACACCAGGAGCAGACACCCAAGCCTGTCTGTCAGAGGCCTCGGCGCGGCCATCTACACCTGCTGCTCCCGGGCAGCTCACCCTCCACCTTCAGCTCTATGGCATCCGGGTTGAGTTCAAGTTCTAAAATCCCTTAGGAGTTCTCCTCCACTTTGTACCAGCTCTGACTTTGAATGTCTGCAAGTCTCGGTTTCCTCATCTGAAAAATGGATCATGTACCTGCTTCATAAGGACATTGTGAGGATTAAATGGAAGAAATGGGCCGCACAGGCTTTGGCAGATGGACGGTTGCTCTCCTCCTACCCCACCTCTCCAGTGAAGCTGCTCTCTGAGGTCTGCAGTGGCCTCCGAACTGCTGAGCCCGACACGGAGCGCACTAGCCTCTGCCTTCTTCACAGGCTTTCTGCTCCGGGTTTCAAAGCAGCAGCTCAGGGAGCACACGGTCATTTAGTCACTCATAACATATTTCTTGAGGGC